GGTTCTTGTGTACCCAATTTGCCAGTATAGTTACAGGCCAGGGGGCGCGTGCTGTGGATGGCTCAACACCTTCTGACTATCCACTATAAAGTACCAGTATGGAGAGCTGCCTGCTACTGCCCCTGAAGACCTCGCTCCTTTGTGTGTTTGGGATGGTGATACTTTCCTTCAGTAGTTCTCAGAGGTGTGTCTCCCCTTCCTAGTGGATGTTCGAAGCCAGTGGCTGGAGATGTAATAACCACGAAAGTAAGTTGTGACAGAGGCATGTGATACGGAAGTAAGTAGCACAGCACAAGGGAGCAGATGACTCGGAGGCTGTAAACACCCAGGTGGAGGCAGAAGAACCCAGAGAACTCGGGGCTCACGCACGGCCGTGTGCGCCCTGGGGGAGGGTCCCCGTTACCTTCCCGGGTCCGTTTGACACACCTGTGTTGCTCTGCTTACTTAGTCCATTTACCAAGAGTTGTGTTGTGGCAAGAGCTCCTTCAGCTCCTTGAGTGATCTGGGCCATGTTATTGAACGTCCCTCTGTCTTGGCGTCCTTCTCTGTAAAATGGGGATAGTAAAATAACCACCTGGTACGTAGTGCAGAGTGCAAGAGAATTCCTGAAGCACATTTGCTGCAGTGGCTGACTGCACATTGAGTGAGCGCTCAGTGAATGTTAATTATCTTTGTTACTACCATCTGCAAATTTGCAAAGATATTTTTATTAGCGATTTTGAAAGTAATTAAGTACATACTAAGTTATTTTATATTTTAAATTTTCATTAGAAGCGACTAAAAAGATTTACATTTAAGATCTAGAACTTTCAATTTTTAAGCCATATAGAGAAAGACAAATACTGCATGATTTCACTCATATGTGGAAGATAACAAATACGAGGATAAAGAGAACAGATTAGTGGTTACCAGAGGGGAAGGGGGTTGGGGAGTTGGCGAAAGGGACAAAGGGGCACATATATATGGTGATGGATAAAAATCAGACTATTGGGGGTGAGAACGATGCAGTCTATACAGAAACTGATAAATAATAGTGTATACCCCAAATTATACTATGTTATAAACCATTATAATCCCAATAAAATTACTTAAAAAACAAACTTTTGGTTTTTAATTTTTATGTCTGCTTTGGTCAGTTATAAGTGCTAAGAGTTTGGTTTAGTAATGACTAAGCAATAAATACTGCAAAAAGGCTATTCTGGAAAACAGATTTTTGATCAGAATAGAAGCAGATGATTTCGTTTGGTCAGGGTTGGTCTCTTTTGGCCTCCAGAATGTTGTACGAGGTTGCACACAGAGCAGTGCACCTAATAAGTGCCTATTACAGTGACTTCTTCTTTTCTTGTGTTCAACGAATTGCCTGAAGTCTTCCCGTCAAAACCCTGAGTTCTGATGCACCATTAAAGCTGGGGGGGGGGGGGGGGGCAGGGCGGGCATCCTGTGGTTGGTAGCCCCTCTTTGAGCCTCCTGGGGGCAGGAGGAGCTGTCAGCACAGAGGGAGGGAGAACGGGGGGCAGACCTTGTCCCAGGGCTGGTCTGACTTCACTGGCCGTTCGGCACCTCTGACCTCCCACTCCTGCATCCTGGGGCAAGCCTCTCCCATCTGCCTTTGCTATTTACACATCTTTAGTTAGATATCGAAATACCAGGATTTGCCTGTGGAAAAATAGAAATAAAAACAAAACAACCCCCCAAATTCCCGTAGTTCCACTGCTGAAGACAGATTCTCCTGCCTGTGAACCACCTGTGTGGACCACTTTCTCCCTGTTGGGTCGCCCCGCTTTTCTCTGATTTGATCCATTATGTGCCTCTTTCACCTCTCAGAGGGAAACTGTCCGTTCCTGGGGCTGGGGTGGGGACTGCTTCCGCAGCACGCTTCACGGATGCCTGGGGCACTCATGTCTTTGTGCTTTAAGATGATTTCCTTGGGCTGTATTCTCGAGATTGAATTATCGGAGTAAATAATATGAACACTTTTAAGACTCTCGTTACAGAAGAGAAATTACATCCAAAAGGGAAATACCAATTTTTATTCCTACAGAGTAATCCATGAGAATCTGTTTATATCTGGTACCCAGAAGAGGGCCTGGCAGTTGTAGGTGCTAATACATGTTTACTGATGAATTAATAAGAAAATGAACGAATGAGGCTACTGCCTGTTTCATGGTACTCTCTTCAGTGTGTGATCATCAAACTTTTTTTCCCTCGACTTGAAATTTTGCATTGTAGCCTTCCTATGTTTGCCATTTACCCAGCAGTCCTCTGCTCCTGTAATTCCTTGAACCACAACCACGTTTTCTACTTTTTATGCCTTTGTTTCCTATTGCTGCTGTAACGGTGTCAGAAATTCAGAGGCTTAAAGCGGCACACGTTTGCTCTCAGCGGTTGTGGAGGTTGTGGTCTTTCTGGCCGTCACGGGGCCGCTGGGCTGTGTTCTCTCGGGAGGCTCTAGGCGAGAACCCGATTCCTTGCCTTTTCCAACTTCTGGAGTCACCTGCGTTCCTTATTGTGTCCCCTTGCTCCATTTCTAAAGCCAACAGCACAGCATCTTCAAGTCTCTCCCTGACTGTGAATTCTGCTTCCCTTGTCACATCTCTTTCTCTGACTCTTCCTGCCTCCCTCTTTCCCTTATAAGACCCCTGTGATTACTTTGGGCCCACCGAATCACCCAGGATGATCCCCCTCAAGAGCCTTAACTTCATCACAACCGCAAAGTCCCTGCTGTCACTTAAGCTGACATAGTCAGAGGTCCTGGGGTCAGAATGTGGGCGTCTTTCACGGGGGGCATTATTCTGCCTGCCTTATACTTTTTTGTTCTTTTGTTCATCTCTGTTTTGAAATTTAACTCATTCTTCAGGATTTTTCTTGAAAGCCACCTTCTAAAAGAAACATCTAATAATTCCCTTCAGTCTTCTCTCTCTGATCTTGTTAAATGTTGTTGACTTTCTGAGATCATTTTCATTTCCTTTTTTGTGCATCCAAATTATTTATATACATGTATGTCTGTCCTACTTAATTGCCATCTCGTTGAAGGCAGGGGTTGTATTTAGTTCATATCTTGAACTACTAACTTACCTCAGATTTTTGCCTGAAGTTATTCTGTGTTAAAATAATATTTATTTCACTTAATAAACAATTATTAGTTTTAAAAAAAAGGGAGCTTAATACTTTTAGAAGTTTGTTTATAGTATGAGAATGCATTTCAATGTACGTATTTGAAATCATGATGTCCTGTTGACTGTTATTTGAATGAATTTGTTAGATGGCATCTGGCCGGCAAATGGAAGCCATCCTCTAATTCCTAAAGGTTGATTGACGTGGAGCCGTCGAGGCTACGGGGCATCCGTGTGCGGGAGCATGAGCCGTGGGTGTCTGTCTGTCTGCGCGCTGAACACGTGTGATGGGGTGTCCCCTGGAACTGGTGTTTAGAGTTAAATAAGCAGGATACCCTTCTTATTTTTGATAATTAGTAGAATCTAGAAAAGGCCTCTTGGTCAAACCACTGAAAATGTGAACCAACACTTCCTAGTAAATACAGTAGGGGGAACGTTTGAATGGAAGGTTGTTTTGAATAATAATGCTAAAATTACAAAATTTTATTTTATAACATTTTTTCAATACTAAAGGACTAGTGAAATGCTTTTTGACCCAAATATATAAATGGGTAATTACTCATATTGCAAGAGATAGCTGCTTTCAGGTTGGTATAATATGACCTGATTTTCCAGTGTGATTTTCTGAGACCTTAGTCATCAAACTTCCGTTGTAATATCTTACTGTCTCTTTTATAATAGGCACAGACCCTGCCTGTTCCTTCTCCCCACCGTGCCAGTGTCCTCAGGAAAGAGCCGCACCATGTGACAGGCTACTTGATCTTCAGAAAGGAGTGCACTTTGCATTGTGGGAATCTGACCAGTATTGGAAAATATGTACTGGTTGAAAATAGATTTTGAAATGTACAATTTTCTATGGGCATAATTAATATGAAGACAGGAAAATTTCTGTGATAAAATTTTCTATTTTAAAAACTCAGTCTTTCAGCAGCATTTTCCTCTGATTTCCTTAATTCATTTAATTCCTAATAATGACAATTTGAGACCACAGCTGCAGCGGGTGGCCCACAGGCCTGTCTGTCTTCAGGTTGAGATCTCAGGTGTCTGTAAGCTGAGGCAGACGGTGCTCCCACCTATGAGACATGTAGGTGCAGGTGCCTGGGCGTCATTACTTCCTCCTCCACACTGGCAGGATGTCTTATTGCTTTATGATTAGCTGTCTTTTCTTCTTTTCCCTCTAGAAGGTGAACTTTTGAGAGCAGGGGCCAGGTCTTTTAAACTTTTGTTTCCTCAGTGCCCTGCATATCCTGGGTACTCAGTAAGAGCTTTCGGAAGTGAACTGACTCCTTCCTAGGATTTGTTCTCTAGCACGTTGCCCGAAACCAGTGGTCACATCTGGATGTGTTACAAAGAAGTCTGTCCTTTATCTGTCCTTTTCATTGCATCTCTAGGTCAAGCAGAACCTATTACTTAAGTTGAGCGAGTCAACTGTTTATTCTTTTGTAGCATATTTTCATCTTATTTTGATGATGCAGAAGAAAATAAGAAAACCTTTTAAAGCGTGCACGTGACGTGTGTTACTAACTAGATTAACTTATTAAAAGCGGATGGCGGTATTTTTAGGGTAACTGCTTTTATTCCCTTTGCTGTTCTAAATCTAAGCATGTGGGGCCTCGCTGGGTTGACTTTTGTAATTTTACTTTTCTCTGGATTAGACTGAATCCAGGCAGGGATTCCTCCCAATTGGTTTTCTTTTTTAAATGTTATGTTCGTTCTTTATATATTTTCATTGAATTATTTCTCTTGTTTTAAATTAAGAAACCCAGAGCTCCTTTTGAAAATAAGAAGAAAGTGTTAAAACTTTACCTACTCCCTGCTTGCTTCCTGCCGCTCACTGGGTGAATGTTTCCTGTGATGTGGCTGGTACCCATCTCTCTTGGTCATTAGGTCGCCCCCAACGATGAAGCTGTGGTGACGCTCCTGTGTGAGTGGGCCGTGAGCTGCAAGCGGTCGGGCAAGCACAGGGCAATGGCCGTGGCAAAGCTCTTGGAGAAGCGGCAAGCAGAAATCGAGGCAGAGGTGGGTTCCGTTCTCTTTCTGCTTATTGAGGGCCATCATCTAAAAAGACTGTTTGGGGAGGAGTCTGTTTACTCTCATTATGCTATTTTTTTTCTTTCTATTGAAGGAAAAAGGGAGAACGTACGAATTTACATACGCACTCCATGGCAGGGTCCCTCTAAGTTGATGAAGCCAATCATTTACATTCGGGACTAATTTAAAATTGTATCTTTCAAAATAAAACCTTTACCTTCCATTTAGGACAAAAAGATGTCCCTTTGCGAGGTTAAGACACACACATGTATATACGTTTTGTACTATATACTTTGTATATATCCACGTGTGTGTGTATGTGTATGTATCCACACATGTATATAATATACACCAACTTTTATGAATTTTAAAGCTACCTAATGTTTTAGTGGATCTGGAACTACTTTCTTGAGGTGGTTGTGACTATGAGATGATAGATCCCAAATCCTATTAGTTTTTGAGATTGTGTTCTGGCCCCAGAGAGAGCAATTAAAGCCTCAGAGTAGATTGTAAAGGAAAAAACAAAGCTAACTTCATAACACGAGCTTTAGGGGGAAGATGTGCGAGTGGGCCTGCTTTTCTGCTGTGAGGCTGAGCAGGGCCGGCTCTGGAGAAGGGGGGTGTGTGTGTGTGTGTGTGTGTGTGTTCGTGTTCTAGAGGGATCCAGGCCCTGTGCTCGTGTGTGTGTGTGTGTGTGTGTGTGTGTGTGTGTGTTTTCCACAGGGATCCAGGCCCCGTGCTCCCTCCTGGGCTGCCCCAGGGCCTCCTCGCTCCTCCCTTTTTCTCCACATCCTCCACCCCGCACCCAGGGCCGTCTTTGCAGCGTGGAAACAGACCCCGTTGTCTGCCCAGGACTCCTGGTGGCTCCTTGCCGTGGCCCACAGAGCCCCCGCCTGCCTTCCGCCTGGCTCGCCCCTTCTCCCGGATCACGTATAGCTCCGGCCACACTGGTCTTACTGTGCCTCCAGCATGCCGCACTCGCATTTATCTCGGGGCCTTTGCTCCTGCTGTTCCCTCTGGGCAGCACACTCTGCTCCCCAGTCTTTGCGTGGCCCGGTTCTTTCTCCCATTCCTGTTTCAGAAAGTGTCACTTTCTCTGTAGCTTCCCTAGCTCAGCATGTGCAACCTTCTTGGGGAGATCTCCCTTCACCACCTTATCTACAGATGATGGCCTCTGCCCCCCGCCTCAGCCCCTTTCTCCCGTCACTCCGGATTCCTTTCCTCTTTGGTTTATTGCTTAATGCCTGCCGACCCCCTCGAGACTGTAGGCTGACAGCAGGGACCTTGCCCACCCTGCTGTGTTGTGTCCTTGGCACGCAGCGTAGCAGGCGCCTAGGCAGTGTTTGTTGCGTGAGTGGGTGAGCGCTCAGCTGGCTCCTGTTACTGACCACACACCTGCTGCCCAGGAAGCTCTTCGAAACGGAACTGGAAGAATGTGTTCATAGACTCGTCTCTCCCCATGTTGGGAAAGCACTGTTCACCAGATCCGAAAGACTGGGGCCTGAGGAAAACCACATGGCCCATTTTACAGCGTGCAAATTGAGAAAAGTGGGTCATTGCTTTTTTTCTACATGTTTATGAATAGATAGACTATTCTACAGTGAATTGCAGTGATTAAACTTGTAACTAAAGTTGGATTTCTCAAATTTCATCACTCCTTCTGGATTGTTGTTATTGTGTCTCCTCCCCCTCTCCCCTGGAGGGCCCTGGCATACACACACACACACTCACATTCTCACAAACACACTCACTCACACACACACACACACACTCTGTCTCACACACACACACTCACACACACTCACACTCACACACACACTCACACACACACACTCACACACACACTCACACACACACACTTTGAGAAGAGCTTCACACATGGATTACTGTCTAATTTTAATAGGTGTAAATGTATCCATATCTAGAAATGTGTTTTCTCAGAGATGTTTAAGATAATTGATTTCTAGTAAACATCACCATTTTCAAAATTTGACCTTTGTGAAGAGAGGATGGATTGTAGAAATAATATCTTAAGGTAATAATTAATATCTTAAGATTAAAGAAGAGATAATGAAAATGGGAAGGGTCAGACGGCTTCTGACCTGTTCCTTTTCTGGTAAGTTCTGTCTGTAAGGATGCAGAAGTTAAACAGCTTCTCTAGATGAGTTGCATAAACTGTGCAGTTCCGAGGTTCTGAGAGATCTTATTGTGAAGTGTGTTGAAGAGTGGAAGAATCGTACTAGAGGATGACGCCGGCTTCCTTGTTTGACCCCATGCATCCCCACACACCCTCGCAGATACACCTGCCTGAGCGCCCCCCGCACAGGAGAGTCAGTCAGTCACATCTGCCCAAGTATTTCTCAGTTAAACACTAGCTTTTGAAAAATGAAGACAATCTCAAATTATTTTTAGCAGTTTTGCGTAGGGAGCTATTGTGCTAGGCTGTGCGTTCAACAGAGACTCATGCCATGCTGTGCAGTTTATAATTCACGCAAATAGTGTCTTTCATGGTGGTTCTTTGGAATCATTTGAATTTTTCTGGAGAACTTTGCCCCAACTTTTAGAACTTATATTTTCGTACAATGCATGGCCCACAAATAAGTACAGAAATCTCCATTAATTTTGCATGTTTTATCTAAGAACTTAGCTGTTAATAAAAAACCAACAAATTCATGACCCACTGTGCCTGTACTGGTCCTCTGTGATTAACTGTGCTTGTTTGTTTTCAACCTTAGAGATGTGGTGAATCAGAGGTCTTAGATGAGAAGGAGTCCATTTCTTCAGCCTCTCTTGCTGGATCTAGTTTGCCTGTTTTCCAGAATGTTCTGCTAAGGTTTTTAGATACACAGGCTCCCTCATTGTGTAAGTAAAGCTCTTTACTTCTAGATCTTAAATAAGGGATAGATCCTTTTCTTGGGGCTGATTCTCCTTTTGTTTTTCTTATTTGCGTCTTATCAAAAGTTCTTGTCACTGAAACATAATGTATATTTTACTGAGCAAAATTTTGTAGCATGTTTTCGATGTAACTTTTGTGCAATTTTAAAATCAGGCACTCTTCAAAGACTTAAACATTTCCAGATTGTATTAATTTAAAAAATAAGTCACCTCATTCCCTTATATTTCGTGGACTAATTTTCTCTTTCTAGATCTTTCTTACCAGAAGAGACAAGCTAAGATTCTGGGATGTTTCACTGTATATCGTGATTTGGAATTTTTTGAACCATTTTCTAAATTGCTGATTTTCTAACTTGTAATCTTAAAAGGGGGCAAGAAAATTAGACAAAAGAACTCTGTAACCAGGTCCTTGATACACGGAAATAATTTATGAAGGTGGTTGGCTGCTTGCCTACACTCTGGTGGATGGTAGTGTCATCGCACGTTCTCTTCTGTCTTTTGTTCTCTTGTTGGTGGGGGTCATGGTTTTGGGAATAAACGGCCAGCAGTGGGCTCATGCTGTGGGCAGACACCTTACGGAAGTCATTGGTGTGAGCTGAGCAGGCTTGGTCTTATTCTGAGGTCTTCATTGTGACAAAGAGGGCCCTCGCATAGATAGTGATGGGACTACAGAAAAATGGCACAAAGGGAAAAGTGATAGAAAGGGGAGAAAAAGAATGGAGGGGGCAGAAGGGAGACGTTTGTGGAGAAGAAACAGGTAAAGCAGCAAGAAGTTGGCCTGCTTCTGATCCTCTGAGAAGGGCCTCCTTGGGGCTGTGACGCTGGGGGAGAGGTTCTCTTAGTTCCTGGGTGGGAGAATGGTGACGGCGGGAGCCACGCTGCTGTTGGATTGGAGTGAGCAGTGGAGATGGAAGCCGCAAAGCCCAAGGACAGGAGATCCGGCCGGGAGAAGGGTATTGTCAGGGACGGCAGCTGGCAGATCTGACTCATCTCGGATCCTGGAGGTGAGACACGTCGCCGGTTGTGTCCCTCATCCCGTCCCCGCTCCTGTTCCCTCTTCGGGAAGAACGCCCTCCTCTTGTGCCTTTGCCTGCTCTGGATGCGTCCACTGCTGGATGGGGAAGGCTGTCTCTTGTGGAGAGGCCGCTGGTCATTGAGTTCGGTGTGGGTGAGATCGAACATTTGGGTTTAAGCTTCAGGGAGCTGAACTTACCGTTCCCACCTGTTTGTTTCTTGCTGGTGTCGTGGCTGTGCTGGTACCAGGGTTGGGGCTGGACAGGTGTAGTTGAGTCTTAACATTTTTTAACCTTCTCTCAAAGGTACAGAGTTTTAGAGTGCAGTTATAGTATTAAAAGTCATAATGTGCGGCCAGTCCCAGTGGCCTAGTGGTTAAGTGTCCTCTGCTTTGGCAGCCTGGGTTTGGTTCCTGGGTACAGACCTGTATCACTCCTCTGTCAGTGGCCATGCTGTGGTGGCGGCTCACATATAAAAAAAAAAAAACAAAAAAAAAGGATGATTGGCAACAGATGTTAGCTTAGGGCAAATCTTCCTCAGCAAAAAAAAAAAAAAAAAAAAAAAAAAAAAGTAAAAAAAGCCATAATGTGAGTTAAATAGACTGGTTATGAATTTAAAAAGACTGCACAGCTCCATCTTTGTGTCTCTTTATTCCATTTTCCCTTTTTCAGTAGATGCCACTCACTACTTTTTAAAATACTATTTGAACTGTGGTTCTGTAGTCTCCTTTGAAGAAGTGCAGACACATCCCCTACAAATACATGGGCACATTCAAGGTGTGAGAAGTCATGAGCTGTTTTAATAGTAAAACCAGAGGGAAGCAGGCTAGCCCTGCATTTATGTTCTTACCTGAAGTTTTGTGTGTTTACCTTATTACTTAAATGGCTCTTGATTTGCCGGGGACCACTGCCTTTACGTTTGAAATTGTGCTTAGCGCACTGGATGCTATTTTTCAATTCCAGAGGGACGATCACAACCTGTGTGCCAGTCCTGCACAAACAGTGGTGCCTCACAGTAAATTTTCCAATGTGTCTTTTATTTTGAAAAAAAAAAAATTGTGAAAAGTATTGAAAACGTTAAGCCACGGTCATTGGTTGTTTTTCTCCTGGCTCAAAGGGACTGAATTCTTGGTGGAACTTGTTTCTTTGTAGCGGATCCGAACAGCGAGTATGAAAAGGTGGAGTTTGTGAACCTGGTGCTGCTCTTCTGCGAGTTCATCCGACACGATGTCTTCTCCCACGACGCCTACATGTGCACCCTCATATCGCGAGGAGACCTGTCAGTCACCGCGTCCACGCAGCCGCGGTCGCCAGCAGGGGACAACGCGGACGAACACTACCCAAAGGACCACGATGTGAAGATGGAGGTATGGCCCTGGGGGGGCGCCCCGCCCCCAAACGAAGCTCTCCTGCTTTCAGAGGATTATTCAATGGTGGAAGGGTGGTCGTTTTTAGTTGTGTCCTCTTGTCCCAACGCTTATTTATCTCTACTCCTCACTCACAAAAAACATTTGGACTATAATTTACATCTTCCAGAATTTTCTTTTGGATGCTTTAAAACTATTAATGAAAAGATTTGACAGGCCGTAATATTTTTTATTGGATTGGAATTATATGCCTCCAGTTTCACATATTTCTAATCTCCAGTTTTCCTTTAATGTTGTGCCTCAACATTGGACTTCTTTTGGCCCTAAAGTCCTGGCGGAGTTTTCATCCTAAGGAGCGTCTTTTTCCCAATGTTTTGATTGTAAACTTGTATCTATCTTTTATACATCAGGGAAAATTCTGTTTTAGTCATGGCACATCATATTTTCATTTCAATTAATTAAAAATTTAATCTCCATTTCTCAGATGTTGTAGAATTGTTCTTTTCGACAAATTATTTTATGCTGTGAGCATGACTTTATATTTTTCTGCCAATTTCTGATATTTTGGGCATTATTCCAGATACTTAGGGAAATTTTCAAGGCAAAAAACGTGGAGTTGCTGATGGGGAATAGTAGAAAATGGTGAAAGATTGTGACAATTCCTTAAAAATAAAGCCTCATATTGGTTCTGTGAGAGTTTAAGCATATATGCTATTATGATATTTCTAAAACAGTGGCTAAGGATCCTTGTTACTTAAAAACCTGACGTTAGAATTGCACATGTGGATTCGTAGTTTGTACTCTCAAGATTTGGTAATCAAATGGTACGGGAATTTTTAAAAATTATTTCTTTAATGTAAATACTTTTGTTTCTCAATTTGTCTACAGTAGACATTATGGAGGATAAAAACTAAAGTTACTTTACCTATTTCTGCTTTTTCTATGTGTCTGCTTTTTCTTTTCTATTCTTGGATATCCAGGCGGTGTCCTATACGTTAGATGTGCTCTTAGATTTTTCTTACTAAGGAAAGTGGGTGAGCATTTGACTGGGAATCGCCCAGAGAAGGAAGTTATGGCCAGTTTGTTTTTAGTCAGGACATTTGTGTGCTCCTCCCTTAAAATATCGTGGAAGGAAAATCTTTCTCATCATGAGGACAAAGAATGTGACTTTGCAGAGCAATGCATGCCTTAAAACTTCCTTGTGTTTTTTTGAGGGAAAAAAGACACTAGTGGGGAAAAAAGACATAGAAAGGTTAAAAATATCACTGTCATGCTTTGGCTTCAGTTTCTTAATGAACTACTAAATTTACAGTGTGACTTTCTTTCCCTGGCAATTATCAGGAACAAACTATTATGGCGCATATGGGCATTGACTCAGGAACTACTAATATTTTTGATGAAGTAGACAAGAGTGACTTTAAAACTGACTTTGGTTCGGAATTTCCAGTAGGTTCAACCTTCGAATTCTTATCGACTATTTCACCCCTCTTCCCACCCTCCCCGCCTTGTCTCCATCCTGCTCCTTGCCCCCTGTTCTGGAATGACTTGTGTACTTGTGATGTAAACGTGGTCCTACCTTCCTCCTCCCTCGGGCATAACCGTCTCGTGCAGTTGTCTCATTTCAGTTCATCCTCAGTTGGGGCTGTGTTGCCTCCTTTGTAAATTGTACCTCCCCTTCCCTCCTAGTTGACTGGGACCCTTTTGTTCGTTTTGAGATCATTCTCTCAGGAATCCGTCAGTGGTTTCGTCATGAATGTGTAAACAACAGCTTTCCTGGCTCGGGACTTGTTAGACATTTCTCCACTGTATCTCAGTGTCATTATCATGTGTTCTTCCTCATGGATCTCAAAGCATAACTCTTTATAAAAAAATACGTTGGGGTACAGACGAAAACCTTCACGTCTGTTATCATTAGTTTTGCTAGTTAATTATTTCTGTGTGTCTGTTTTTGTAGGAAATCTAGCCTTATGAGGAAAACACTGACCTCTGAGTCTGGTTTTGTCTCTGGTCCCCGGGAAATGCAGCTGGGCACATTTCTTACGTGTGTGTGGTTGCCATGTTCTCATCTTCAACATGGGAGATGATGTTGACACAGTCCTCCTATCTGAATATGAAGTTTGTGGCAATTAACGAAATTTCTTTATATATTTTGCTGAGTGGTTAAATAAGGAAAAGATGTTGTGTGAGTGTGTTGTGTGTTTGAAGTTCTGTTAGTATGTAGCACTATGTTCTATTTTTGCCCTTTCATTTACAATTTCCAACATTTGTTTTACATGACTTAGATTTTTTCTCCCATGCCTGGAGAGTCCTGTGAGAATGCCAGCCCTTCCTTGGGCAGAAGAATGTCACTTAATGGGGAGAAGTTGCTGAAGAGAGAAAAACCCAGGGAGTTAATTTTTCCATCTAATTATGACCTCCTGCGACACCTGCAGTATGCAACGCATTTTCCCATACCTCTGGTAAGTCATTGCTTACATCAGTTGACGACCTGATTGTTTCGTTATAGCATCACCACCCATTGATTATTCAACTACTTGCCTGAGCAACACACGATAGCACGTGAGTTTTGGCATTTACTGCTTCTTTTGTTAGAGTTCTGATCATACAGCTTATGTACTGATGGAGTCCAAATTTGTGGTGTGATACCACAGCTGGCTAGACTTAGTGGAATTTCCTACATTAGTGTCCTTTTATCAAGATCGTTTGACTCACTGCAGATGATGTCGAAGTGTGTTTTCCTAATTGAATTTGAAACTCGTTTACCGGGCAGCTTTTGTGTGCGCCATATTGTGGTAGGTACTTTTGGTGTTATACAGATGAGCAAGAATTTGGGGGCACAGGAAAGATGAATAAAACAGGAGGGAGAAAAATGTCTATAAAATGACAAACACTGAAATAAGTGCAGTAATTGAGTAAAAATGCGAGCACCCACGGGAGGGTGAAACGTTTGAGTAAATACTGGAGGAGCGAGAGCATCTGCCTGAGAAGCTGGTTAAGGTGTCATGGAAGAGGTTGTATGTCAGATGGAACTGGATAGACACGGGAAATACTTGCCAGGAAATTTAGTGTTTGAATCATAGTGCGTGATGTACTTTATTCTCAAGGGAAACAAGATTAGTTTTTTGGTATTATGGTAATGAAAATTGGGCCCAAATCTGTAAATGTTCTTTATTCTTAGGTTCACTTTCTTTTTTCCTGGAATTTTATTTTATGTGTCATGTCAATCAGTCATTTTGTTCGGTGAAAAGTGTTATTGTTATTTTTAACAAAAATGTAAATGTGACTGTATCTTATGTTATTTCCTGGATATCTTTGAGGAGTTTTGATCTGCAAACTAAATATTTTCTTAAATTTGTTTATTTTTTTGGTTATTTTGGAACATCCTCTGAAATGACTTTCAAAATCACTATACCCATGCATTTTTTTCTCATTACAATTATGAACCCTTTGTTTCTTGGTGTTAATTTTTCTGTGTCCAGGGCTATGTCAAAAGTTTCTTGTTCATCACTGGCTGACTATATCAACATTTTTCTGCTGTCACCTATAGGCATCCCTCATTTTCAATGTCATAGAATAATCTCACAGTTTATCTAGGGCAGCAGAAAGAGTGGCCTGGTGTTTTAGAGATGTGTCCTGAAGGATTCATGGATCAACTATCATGATGTTGGGGATTTGTTTAAAATACTCAGAGTCAGAAAGCGAGGGCGGACACTGAAGTCCGCAGTTCACTTAACGGTGATGCGCCAATGTCAATTTCCCAGTTTTGACAAACGTATCATGGTTGCGTCAGGCGTTAACATTAGGGCAAACTGGGTAACAGGTGTGTGGGAACTCTCTGCGCTGTCTTTGTACCTTTTCTGTAAATCTTAAATTATTCCAAAATAAAAAATTTACTTAAAGAAAATTAAAAATGGAGAGAGGAAATGAAACAAATATGGCAAAATGTTGAAACTGGCTGAGACTGGCTGAGGGGTCTCTGCCCCTCTGTTGGGTAAGCAGAGCTTTGCAGGCCTTGTTCCATGTGTCCAGCTGTCAGAGCCGGGCACCACCCACACGTGGACTCTTTACTCTGTTAGGCCACACAGTCATTCTTAGCAGTTAGCGTTCTAAGATCTGTCCTTTCCTTAGCAGGAAGAGCATGAATGATTTCCAATGACTGAGTCCCATGACGAATTATGACATAATTCAATTATAATGCAGTCATCAAAGAACTGGTAGAAAATCGATGTTGTAGGAGATAATTTTTTAGTAGCCTTCCATTACCAGTTGCCATAACCCCCCCTTTCTGTGAGTGTAATTTAGAATCAGCCATCAGTAAGGGGGAATACAAGTACACGCTAATATAACGTTGACATTGAGAATGCTGTAGAGAGCCTGGCTCTTTTCCTTGATAAACAGGGAAAATTTGGCCAACCTATCATGCGTGTGAGGAGAGTTTAAGAATATGATTAAAAAAAGAGTTTTGTTTTACTCTGTCTCTAAGATGTGGCCCTAGTGAGTGAAGGCCAAGGAGAGAGAACTAAAGGGGATTTGACCGAAAGATTCAGGAAGAAACTAGATTTACCTAGGCTCTTACATGAATGGTGTCTTGGTCTGCCCACCTGGAAAAACGTGTTCTCAGACTCCCAGCAAGCCCGGGTTCTCGCAGGTAGGCCTTCTACCAGCCCGCAACCTAGGAAAGTTGTTTATACCTGGTCTGCTCTGATCCGTGATGCTGATGGGGTTCCTGTCATCACCACTAAGCAGCTAGAAGTGGTGCGGCACTTACCATGTTATAAGTGTAGTAGGCACTTTCTTTTGTGCATTTTCTCCTATGTGAGTCCCTTCAAACTCAGAGAATATATTTGTGAAATGGTAGACAGGAGTTGTCTTGGATTCAACCTTCAGAAAAGAATGCTTCTCAAGGCAGAGCTCAGACTGAGTCTGGAATCAAACTTGTGAAGTTAGCATCCAGGAGTGCCATCTCTTAACCACCACAGCCTGTGCAAATGTGTTACCAGTCATTTTAATATGGGCTTTTACCATTGAAATGAAAAAAGCACAAACTCTCACATATGCTTCTCTAAACTTTGCAATCTCCTTTTCGCTAAAGACATCTTTAATACCAAGTAGTCAATCCTTCGCATTACGGGCGGTAGAGAGAATTCGATCAAAGGGTCATAACCCCGAGAGCTGGAGTCACCATCCTTAAATTGCTGGCCCTACATGGGGTCAGACTCCTCTTGAGGGTCTGAGTGGCACCAGTCAGCCCAGCACGTGTTGCATTCCCAGCCAGGCCTTGCTGTGTGGACTTGGCACATCTATTTTAAGGCTGTCTGACGGGTGCTATTTTTCCGGACCTTTGATGTGAGTTTCTAGCTCCAAAATGGTAGTTGGAGCAGTTCGTATAATTTACAACTCCCCTTGAAAACGTTAGAGGGTCTATTTCTTATTACTACAAAATAAAAATAAGAAACCACTGGATTTGTCATTATTAACAGTAGGAAATCTTTATTTATAACCTTCAGTAGAATGTAAGTCTATATAGGGCATTAAAAACTACCCATGTATTTCCAAGCTTGTTTAGAGGTAAAAATTTTTAGCTATTTTGTTAGGAAACAGTTAGATGGTAAAAATTGGAGTATGTGGTAGAAGGTTACCATCTTTGAAGGGATGGAGTAAAAATAAATCAGTCACAGATGGGTTCACGTAAACATCGGCTGGCATCTTTTTTTTTTTTTAGTGATCTAAAGCGCTTTAAATTGTGTTGCTGAATGAAAGGCTTTCTGGCAACTTATACAGAGAGATGACTTTGCCTATTTCTAGCAAGAAGTCGCTTGCAGGCACTTAGATGAATACCTCTGAGTCTGTGTCGTAGAACTCATTTGGATTTCGGGGATGTTAGGTACAGGGTTGTGCATTGACTTGGCAAGACTTGAGTTTTTTTGTACAGCTATTCGGGTCGAGGAGCATCAGCAACCACAGGACCGCTCCTGCGTGGCATGCATTTAGAAACAGGGTTTCTCAGTGAAGCGGGCCACGTTTGCGGGCTATCTGTGTGTTTACTGAAGCTCTTTGTTTCTCTCTCCTAGTAGTTTTGTACTTATTGTCCAGTAAGGCAAGAAGGGAGAGCATGAAAAATCCTGTATGTTATGCATCGTTTTCACAGCTTGATTTTCCTTTCTGAGCCTTGGTCTCCTTACGTGAAGTGAAAGTCTCAGCGACCTTTAAGCGGAAGGCTTTCGAGAGATGATAGTACAGGATGGGATCGAAGCACAGGTTCGACACGGCCAGTAGCAGCGTGGCCTCTTTGGCTTTGAAGAGTGCTATCCTGGTCGGGCAGTCCGATATGACCTCTGTCTGGCTGAGGGTGTATGGGATGCGGACAATGTGATAAGGAACAAAACAGATGATGTAGGCTGCAGTCACTAAAAGGATGTTGATGAGAGCTCTTTTCACATTTGGATAGTCTTCATTGTCTTTGTGTCTGTAGAGTTTTCGGATTACCAGGCAATTAGATATTAAAATGATGGCTGAGAAATTTAAAAATATGGCCACACATATGAAATTTGTCAACAGATGCCAATTTCTTCCAAACTCTTTCTTGAATTCCATGCAGCCCACGTTTGGCTTTTCCTCGATATCTTTGATGGGAATCACCATGTTGGGCACCATGATAAGAAGGACCATTAGCCACACGACGGTCGATATCATTTTGGCAAATCCAGGCTCTTGTATTCGATAAACCTTGTAGCTGTGTGTCAGCTGAAGACAGCGATCAATGCTGACAAAGGCCAAGAAGATAATTGATAAGTACATATTAATGTAGATGAGGCATGCTGTCACCTGGCAGTGGAATATCCTCAGCTTCCACGGTGCCACACCCAAGTCGACAACAATTTTCACTGGTAACGCCAGAGTGAGCAGGACGTCGGCTGTCAGCAGATTGACTAAGTATATGCTTATGCACCTGCGGTTTGTGTTCTTCTGGGTGAAAGCCCAGGCTGCGAAACAACTTCCAATAATTCCAACAAGGAAAACTAAATAAAAAAAATAAGTGAACGGCTCCAGATCTCTGTAAACTGGGCAGAAGGTAGAGCTGTTTGTCATCTTGAGGGAAAGTAAGGAGGATTCTGTCAAAAAAAAAGAGAGAGAGATTATTTTCTTTAGAAACATTTGCACTCACAGTCTCACAAGCCCACGGTCACGGTCTTTCTAGTTCTTAGATAGAAGTTTATCGGTGAACTTGTGGGAACATCTTAGGTTATGAAGAAGCCTGGGTTTTCCATGGTCTGAGTTTGGAAAATCCCATGTAGCTTTGCTTTGAGAAGGGATATTTTTGCCATCACGGTTTTGTGTTCCCGTACCTCTTTTGTTACCAGTTGGGTCGGAAGTTAGTTTGCAGAGGAGATATAAGTGAACTGAAATTCTGAGAAACAGAGGAAACTAGGGTAAAAATGGTTTAGTTGTGGCTAAGCCT